ATGGTTTGTGAGGTCTTATATAAAACATAGTGTTTTCTAATAGAACTAAAAACAGCTTTGCTCAGATGTGATAAGGTCCCTTCTGGATTCTGGAAATAGCAGTTTCTATTTGTTCTACAGAGAAAGAGATTCAATACATCATCTGAACCCATTAATTAAATTAACACTGTTAAATTCTACATTTGTGTACTGGGAAAAAAGCATTTTATTATGTCGTGTCAATACCTCATGGTCTCATCTCTCATGGTGTGGGAAGGGCCACCTTTTGGAGTACAACACAGCAGAATTTGATAATGATGGAATATTGATGCATCGTCACAACAGCCAGACCTCTCCTTAAATAAAAAAGTCTGCAAGGGAACAGAGCAGCTTGTCCCAGTTTCCACAACAAAAAACCTTTCAAATAGTTGTTATTCACACAAGGAAATATTTGAATAAAGGTCACAAAATCTAAAATCACAATGCCAGGTTTAAGGCTGGCTGATAAGCTGAGTTTTATAAACCATTGTATGGTAGTAGTCAAGGCCATGCCTCACACGCTGGTCACTGTGGGCGTTGCAATGTTTCCGTGAGAGACCTCAGCTTTGGGGGCTAGTCAACTCTTCTTCCTTTGACCTGGGATGAAGGTACATGCTAGAAAGCCGGCTTTTTGTCTCCCCAACATTACAGTCCTCATAATCACCCTATACGGAGGGAAGATTCCATTCATTAAAAGGGGACATGGTAATAAGTGACTTGGAACTAGAGACCCCAGGTCTATCTGGGTCATCTATGCCCTCTCAATCTTCCCACCCTGTTGGACTCATGGTGAGAGATGGAATGTCCCTCCCTCCCTCTACTTTCTGTAGATTTCTTTCCAGCACAGGTTTTTATCCTAAGAAACAAAGGCAAAGCTGTTGACCATGAGCTAAAACATTTCCGCAGGTCTTCATTGTAATGCTGTGATCCAGGTATCTCATTTTCCTTCTCAAAAATCACTTTCTGAGGATGACTCAGGAAAAAAGTATTGAAATCCTCATGTGGCTTTGGTTGTCATCTGAAATGAGAGTCTGCTGGCACTGCCCTAGACAGGTCAAGGCTATGCATTTCAGATGAAGTCTCCTCTATTCTTTAAACCTTCTCTGTTTGGGAGCAACAGCCCAAGAAACATCATCTTGAAACACACTCATCTAATTTTATTTCCAAAGTGCTACCTCTGGCCTCATTCAACACGGTCATAAGGCCTAAATACATGACATTGGTTCATCCTGACTGTTCTATACTTACTGTCAAATAAAACATACCTCAGAGAGAAAGAAGGTATACCAATTTTTTAAACTCCAATAAGGAACTGATGTCACCAAATTAAAATGATCTCTAACAATGCATATACTCTATTTTTCAGAGTAGGTACAACAACAGTGAAATGAAATGTGTATAGCTGTCACTTTAAATTAAGATTATTCTGGAAGTGATTTAAAATCTGTAAGATTTGGAGAAGAGAATATTTAAAGAAGAAAATATTTAATTGTGAAATGTCCAATAAGGGCATGAGGTTTCAGATGTTTATTTTCTATCATTCTTCCAAGGCCTCTCAGAAGATCAGATTCTTTACTCAAATCTTGTACGCCTCATTTCCTGTAAACTGTTCCATAGACAGCTGAGGGTCACAGTGGGCTTTTGGTCTGAAAGACAGAGATCTTCAGCAAGTGAAAAAGGACTCTTGACTATCAAACCTTTAAAAAGACACTAACCAGTGACCTGGGAGCCAGTTGTGAGTTTTCCCACAGAATTACTGATACCACAGTGACTTTGTCTGTGCTTCTAGCCCCACCCCAGAAGATGATAGTGATTTGGATAGTAGGGAAGGTGGCTTTAGAAAAATCAGCCAATTCCAGCTGAATCTATGAGCTGCCCTTGTCAGAACTGTAGAACAAGCAGAAACCTTGAAGGTTCCGTTGGTCTTTCTAGGTATTCAGAAGGAATTATCTGTCTACTGCGTACTTGACTTGGGATGGCCTTTTATTATTTTCTAAGTACAATTATGAAAAACTTATCACATCTTAACTCAGGCCCTCATGGAGAGGTAGGAAAGGTGTTACTGTCATACAAGAAGGAATACTGAAGTATCAACACTAAACTTTGGGCTTGCCCAAGGTAAGCAGCAGATAGGAGCTAATTACCCAAGTCTCATAATTTTCCTCTTCCTCCCACAGCTGAGAAAACCAAGAACACAGTTCAGGCATGGGTTCTATTCACTTCTCTGTCACCATCTAGCTGTGCACCCTGAGTAAATCTCACCTCCAAAATGAGAATGATTCCTGCTCTACCCACCCTACAAAATAGTTGTGGGGGACACACAAGATACACAGTCCTAACCTTGTTTTCCCATGCTAAAAAAGAAGAGATGACGTAAAATCCGTATTACCAACCCCATAGGAAAACTGAAACCAGATGTAGAGGCAAGGGGAGACAGAAGCCAAAAGCCCTGGCTTAGGATCTTCTAATTAGACATTACTTTTAAACCTTATAAACCTATTAAATGATAGGTTTAAACCTTTTAAACCTATTAAATTGTAGAATCAATAGCTTCTATGATTCTCAAGTTCCTCTACTACACTTAGGAGGTTGTACCAGAACATTCTGAATATTTTTTTCAGTGCAGTCTGTATGGGCTCTATCCTAGTTTTCCTTTCCAGGCACCCTGCTACCCTGGAGACAGGCAGCATGATTCTCTACTGTATTCCCTGAAGATGAACAACGGGAACATTTATGTGCTGTAAAAAGGCTAGGTGTTGCCAAATCAGTATAACACATTCGCAGTCCCACTGTGGATACTTTTTTCCCTTTTTCCTTTTTTTTTTTTTTTTTTTTTGTGGATTTTTAGGATCCTAGAGCAGCCTAATGGAATTAAAATCACCAGGCAAAGCAAAATAACGAGTAGCAGTCACATTATTTTAGGAACTACTAGAATGTTGTCCTTGGCCCACTCAAGAGCTCACTAAGACTCATTAGTCTGCAAGGCACCCAGCAGTACAGCCCTCTCTGAAGTGTCCCCTCCTTCCCAGGGATCATTAGTGCTGCTCAGCTCCAGCCACAGCCTCAAATCTCAGTACCCCTAAGAATCAGCTGCTTAATTAGATTTGGAGAGTAGGCAGAAAAAGCAAGTTGTGCAGGCAAAATGCAGGGCAGAGTTCAGAAAGGGAAAGCTAGGGGCGGAGCGAATGTTTTCCCCTTATCCTTTTTGCACGCCAGGAGCAAGTTTTAGAAAAATCTTCAACAAAGTTAGCTAGTGCTGTGAAGAGCTAGGGAGGCTATCTTAGGTCCTGTCCCCTCAGGCTGCATGGCCAGCAGCATGCACACATGAGGGGTATTTCTCTACACCTGGCTAAGAGGAAATGTTCCCCCCATACTCCTAAAAACACAGACACCTCATACCCACCCACTCACAAACACACACACTTACCTCACTTTGCTCCAACCCTTTACCATTCACACAGGGCCCCCCTCAGTCATAATGCAGTCAAGGAATGGAGCAGGTGCTAGATAATTTTACAGATGAGAAAAGTGATGCTCAGAAAATAGAGGCAATGTGCCCAACTTCCCAGGATAATGGAACATTCAGGCCTCTAACCTGAGTCTCTGGATAGCAAACATAGTACTCTACCATTCGGAGAGACTCTAATCTTTGTTTTTCATCTAAGTTGATATAAAGGTTTTATTCAAAGCCTAAAGTATGTAAAACAAAATCCCTAAGTACAATGAAGGAAAGGAATGATATAGAAATGGCCCCTGACCTCAAAAAAGATAAAATGTCTATAGACAAATCAGTGTACTATACTCAACCAGAAGCAAACTCACTTGCACTAGATTGTTTATCACAGCTCCCTTTATAATCACCAAGATGTGGAAACAACCGTAGTGCCCATCAACCCATGAATGGATTAATAAACTGTGGTATATGTACACCATGGAGTACTATCGAGCCATAAAAAGATGGAGACTTTACATCTTTTGTATTAACCTGATGGAGTTGAAGAGTATTCTTCTTAGTAAAGTGTCACAAGAATGGAGAAGCAAGTATCCAATGTACTCAATACTAATAGGAAGCCAGTAGATGAACTAATACACACCCACACAAGACAAATAATTCAATTCAAGTTGTGGGGAGGAGGGACAGAGGAGAGGGAGCTGAGATGAGAGAGGAAGATGGGCGTGCTCCCACCTAATGGGCACACTGTAAGGGTATAGGGCACACCTCTGGGGCGCAGGACACAACTACAACAGGAACTTTGCCTTAAAAATGCAAACACTGTAACCTAGTTGTTTGCACCCTCATATTAATCTGAAATTTAAAAAAAAAATAGCAAACTCACATGTGAAGTGTTTTCCAAAGTGTGCTAGAGGGACGTGCTAGTCAGGAATTACGCTGGTGCGCAGGACAATGCAGGACACGTTTTCTGGAGGAGGGAGACTTAGTGCTGACTTTTTAGGTTCTAATCTCAGAGCGTCCACTTGGAGAATCTGTGAAAATTGCAGCAGAAGGAGAACATCACAAATGTATTTTTCCTTTAATCTTTAGTTCCTTAAAGAAATCTGGCACCCGGGGTACTATGGAGAGATAATAAAAGTTCATTTCTATTTAATCATTTGTAATATGAAGACATAAACATAACTTACCCCTGGGGAGTTAATTCACTTCTTTTTACCTCCCTGGTGGGTTTTCTAATTAAGCTTTATTAAAATGGAAACTAAAAGTGAGTTTTGAATGGGAAATTTTCTGAAGAATGCACTGAGTTTCTTTTCTTTCTTTCTTTTTTTTTTTTTTTTTTTTACAGTTATTTCAATGGACACTTGATCTCCTGCTGCCTTTGATTGAAAACCAAGAAGTTGCACTGATTTAATAGCCTGCCATTCTCCTAACACTGTCATGGAAAAATAATTTCCATTCTGTCCTTTTTAACCTGTGTGTGAAACTTTGATTTTTAACATACTTTTTCATTCTTTCACCTTCTGTAAAGATGTCTGAACCTGATCCTTCCTCAGGATTTTCTGGAAGTGTAGAGAATGGAACTTTCCTTGAGCTGTTTCCCACCTCCCTGTCCACATCGGTGGACCCGTCCTCAGGTCATTTGTCAAATGTCTACGTCTATGTGTCCATATTCCTCAGCCTTCTAGCTTTTCTACTTCTCCTTTTAATCATTGCCCTCCAGAGGCTCAAAAATATCATCTCCTCCAGTTCCTCCTACCCAGAGTATCCAAGCGACGCTGGAAGTTCTTTCACCAATTTGGAAGTCTGCAGTATTTCTTCTCAAAGATCCACTTTTTCAAATCTTTCATCATGAAGAAAATGGAAGATTCCACGAATGTGGCGACAGCCTGGGCCTCCCCACACGAAAGTGTCATATGAAGCATTGCCTCACAAAGGCCATGACCCTCGTGGTGTCCACCTGCTTCCCCTTCATCTCTCCTGTCTTCTCTGTTCATTTGGGAGTGGAGAAGCTGATGCTAACAGAAATGTGTGCAAACTGCAAGGGGTAGAGCTCCACACCAACTGCTTAGCAAATGTGGGGTGGGCTTCTTCAGGCAGATCAGTTCATTTCACTTTGTTGGATGCCCTGGACCCACCTGAGGCAGCCTCTAGGTGGTTGCTGGAGATGGCTCCTTGGGCTTCATTTCTATTGTGAAACCGTGAAGCCAACAGAATCTGCAGAAAATGGCAAAATTAAGTCTGAACTATTTAGGAGACATTCTCCCTATTTAAAAGATAAAGTGGAGATTCCAAATTAAAAAGACAGAGCAAGAGAGTTAATTTAAATTTAATGTATCACATTTCTAAAACCGAGGATAAAACTATGCTCAATATTTTCCTTAATTTTACTTTAACAAATGAAGATCACATTTATCAGTGAATATATGTCATTTGGAAAAGTTTTAGAAGAGTTTAATTTTTAATAGCAAGACAAACATTGTTAGGATGCAATGTATTTCTGCCTCATGTTTTTTTTTTTCTTTTCTATTTATGTCGTAGTCATAATGCCCTAAGATTGTGGAACTCTGTGTGATAATTGCTGTTACTATTACTAAGAGAAGCACCAGAGGAGACACTAGGTTTTTACTTTATATCTGTAATTTCCATCAGCAGGAATTAAGCATATGGAAAATATCCATTTAGTTATATTTTATACAGTAATAACTTCGAGCAGTCATGTACATTCCTTTATTCAGTTTCATAGTCTTAGTGCAGAATTGTATTAAGCCCCCAACATGTCTGATGTTTGTTCATTCACATTAGCTTGCAAAACTTAGAGACTACATTACAGTGTTATTATATCTTCCATGAATGTTACACATCTCTGATAATTGGTTGTCATATGTTAATGTAATATACTGCATTAGGATTCCAGGATGTGGGTTTACATTTAAAATTGCAATAGCTGAGAGCTTCCATGCTGGGGTTAGTCACTGTACATCTGAACTCAGCGGGGAGGCACAGGATTATCCATGAAATGAGGTATACACGTGAGTACTTACATGAAATGTGGAGGAAATCAAGCTACTCTGAAAAAAGCAAACTACAGCTTCTTATGAGTAAGAATTTTAATTTAATTTTAAAAATAAATGACCCCCAGCATAAACACTAAACTTGCCCAACCTACAGGAGGCCACTGCATCAACATGCTCTCAGTAAACAACAGAATTACATGTTCAAAACATGTAATAATCTTAAGGAGTGAAGCTTCAACACACCCTGGGGTTGAACTACGCAG